TCCACCTCAACCCACTTTTTAAGTGGGTTGACCTGACTCTGCCCATCAAATTTATTATACAAAATTTCCTAGTCCGATCCAGCCCACCATGGGTTGGTGGGCTAAATGGGTCGGCCCACCAACCCACCTAATTTTTTTTAAAATAATTTAAAATAAATTTCAATATAAAATAATCTATCATCTAAAGTAAAAAATTTTGTGGGGTTAGATGTAACCAACGAAACTCTTATATAATCTTCACTTTATTAATGATATATATATATATATATATATATATTGTTTCATTCATTGTTGTGTTATGTCTCTATTCTTAATGCTTGCTCTAGATTGATTCTCCTTTGCTTGATATAAAGTCCATTGGGTATTGAAAATAGCCTTTGAAACTAGATCTGAAACAAAATACCTAGTGGGAAATGTATCTAGGAATGGAGTTTGGCCCATTAGTAGTCTTAAACCCTAACCCGTAATGCAGGTGTATGTATTGGATACTCAAGGAATTGATATTCACTATATGCACCTAGGCTCTTACTCTAAGGGATTAGGTTTTAGTAAACTTATGGGTTGACTAGGCAATGAATGCAATAAGAGAACAATGATTCATCAAAGTGAAGTTCGGTGATATCTGATCCCAAAATCTTACAAAACACAATACCATTTCTTATCCTTTCCACACACACACACAACTTATATTATAGTTTTAAAATTCCAACAGTCATAATCTTTACTTCAAATGCATGACAATGAGAAATTAGAATTATTCTTTAGCCATAAATAGTCATTAAATGCTTGTTTTACCTAATTAGTCCCTATGGATACGATTTAAATTTACTACTTGTACGGCCGGTATACTTACCATGTTTGAGTCCGTTGTTAGAGTTAAAATGATTTATAACAGCAGAATTGGGAGGAACTACAACAACTGTTACAGACGAAAGATCCTCATAAGGAAACAGTACCTGCATGGAAATGGGTACATGAATCAAATGGCATGTACTCTATCAGTTCAACATACAGAACTATAAAGTCTACCCAGAGTATACCAGGGGATAGCCTATTCCTTAATGTTGTGTGGAACATCAACATTCCACCAAAAGTTGTAATTTTTTGTTGGAGGCTATACCACAATGCTTTAGCTACGGTAGACAACCTTAGGAGAAGAAATATAATGTTGGAGGAGGAAAACAACACGTGTGTATTTTGCAGGAATGCGGAGGAAACAACCACTCACATCCTATTTACATGCCCAACAATAGATATAATATGGAAAGAATGGTATGGGTGGGTGGCTAGTGCAACTGTCCTCCCACAAGATCCGGTTCAACATTTCCTCCAAGGACCTTATACAATGCAATCTAATACAGAAAGGAAAAGATGGCAAGTAGTGTGGAGTGCAATAGCTTGGAACATTTGGAAGCAAAGAAACAAGTGCAGATTCCAACGGGAAACATTCAATTTACAAACTCTACAAAGCCAGATACAGTCATTTGCTTGGGCTTGGTTAAGGATGGAGAAGTCATTTCACTATAGCTTTCAACAGTGGGTAAATAACCCAGGGGCATGCATTATATATTAGATACCACATGGCAATCCATTGATATGTGCATTTGTTATTCTCGATCTTGAAGGGGACAACTGACACATTTTATTTACATTGGGTCGAGTAGGTGAGGATGTTGAGTAAAGTAGGGAGTGTAACATTCTAGGGTTGAGTACATGTTTAGCCAATAATATGCTTCTTTCACAAAGTAAATTATGGCTAACAATGAATCAGAGGATCTATATGATGTTATTTATGTAAAAGACTTAAAGGTATTTCTTATACCTCATCAATATATAATTTTTTGCTGTTCAAATATATATATATATATATATATATATATTTATTTTTGTAATAAAAATATTAAAAAAAAATTAACGTGACAGGTACGGAGTGAGACTTAAATTCTCGAACCTGCATCAGAACCCAATTTTCAAATTGAAGAAAACACGTATCTAAATCAGTACTCGATCTTTGCATCCTACCACTGACTTTTAGGGACCAACCTTACTATATTTCTAAAAGCATCCAAAACTCATTCTCGCCATTATTGTCTCCGATATCACGATTAAGATAAAAAATGGTTCCACTCACTTGAAGTGATGGAGAGGGTGTCAGTGAGAACTACAATGGTTTGTTCTACAATGATGTGTTACCAACATAGTGCAAGACAGTGAAATCTTTCTTCCTCACTGCCTCTCTCACTTGACAGAATCAAAAACTCTTTTAGGGTTAAAATAGACATTCAATCTCATAAAATACATTAATTTATATTTGTTCCGGCCAAAAGGTGGACTAAGGTTTTTTCCTAGGTCAAGCCTTAGAGCCAGAGCATTCAAAAGTGTAATCTTCCGTTTTAACTCTAGGGTTTTAGGTTTTATACTTTTCTATTCATGGGCCACTTGGACCTTGTGAGTGCGAGGATATATTTCCATAACGGTTTTCCTTGGGAATATTTGATTATCAAAGATAGGCTTTTCATCCTTGATTCTCGGACTAGTCCAAAGGGTGAGACCCACTCAGACTTTGGCCGACCATACCCTGGCCGAGCTCATCATGGCCGAGCACACCCTGGTCGATCTCACCATGGCCGAGCACAGCCTGACCGATCTCACATCAGCCGAGCACATCCTGGTCGATCTCACCATGGCCGAGTGTAGCCTGGCCGATCTCACCATGGCCGAGCACACCCCAGCCGATCTCATCATGGCCGAGCACACCCTAGCCGATCTCACCATGGTCGAGCACACCCTGGCCGATCTCACCATGGTTGAGCGCACCCTGGCCGACTATACCCAGGCCGAGTTCGTCCAGGGGGTGGGTGAGATCGCGGTCCGACTGATCTTATCCATGTGAGAGGTTAGATCGCCTGCCGACCGAGAAGACCCATATTCAAGATTCATCGGATCAAAACTTGTAAAGGGTATCAGATCGGGATCCGACTGGGATGATACACTTTCCTTCCAACTTTAAGCCTATAAGGCGCAAGGGCTTAACTGTCCCAAAGATCGAGTCCAGATCAGATTCCGACCGAACTCCCCCGAGATCACCCTCGTGGGAGGGGATCAGGTCAGATTCTGATTGTTTCCATGCCTGGGCCAAAATTAGGTCTGCCCTTTTCTGACTTTCCCTTTGGTGTGCCGATACGGTACACTTGTCTTCCAGTCCTGAGTCTTATAGGCGAAAGGGCTTTAAGGAATTACTCCCCGGGACCGTATCAAAATTATACCGAGACGGTACACTTGCCTTCTAGCCCTGAGCCTTATAAGGCGTAAGGGCTTAAGCAACCGCTCCTATGAATCGTATTGTTATTTTTATGATAAAAGGCGGGATGAGAAGGGGGAGAAAACAAAGTCTCAAACTTATGGTAATTTAGTTCAACATTGACAATTGGTTTTAGACCAAAGCTTTTCACCTTGCTATCTACCTCCCCATATAGAGCACACTCCACATCTCGAGCTAGAGAAATAGCCCTATTAATTGTTTCTGGTTGGTGAAGACGCATCCAACGTATAATTTTGGACTTTAACCCATGCATAAAATATTTAATGGCTTATGGTACAGTTAGGCAAGGGGCAAAGGGACTTGAGAGGACAAAAACTTAAACTCTTCAATAAAATTCTGTCACAGAATGCTCCCATGTAAGGGCGAGTAGTTGTTCATATGGATTTCAAGTATTTATTTCCCCAAAGCGGTCAAGAAATATCTCCTTTAACTTCTCCCATGAGAGACCTAGATCACCCTCCCATAGCAAGGAAAACCAATGGATGACATGCCCTTTCATTGACAATTGGGCAAGAGGAGTTTTTGTTTTAGTAGGGTATCATGCACATGGAAATACATTTCTGCTCAAACGATCCAATTTTAACAATTGAGTGATCATGGATTGAAACTCAACACTTTCATGACGTTCAATCTCATTTGCATGTGCTTCCTTAATTACACATTGCTGGAAATCAACAACTGTGGATTGTAATCCCTGAAATTGGGCATCCAAAGTTACGACTTTGGATTCCAATCCATCAACCTTAGAAACCATGTTGAGCTATCCGAAAGGTCGGACCACCTGACTCTGCCCATCAAATTTATTATACAAAATTTCCTAGTCCGATCCAGCCCACCATGGGTTGGTGGGCTAAATGGGTCGGCCCACCAACCCACCTAATTTTTTTTAAAATAATTTAAAATAAATTTCAATATAAAATAATCTATCATCTAAAGTAAAAAATTATCAAACTAAGTATCATGCATACAATATTAAACTTAAATTAAAAAGTATACAACTTTAAAAAATTGAAACAAAAAAATAAAAATCCTTTCATGAGAGTGATTACTCATCAATATTAAATTTCATTAGTGGTTTGAATAGATAAATTTATAATAATTTCATATTGTTTAACATTGATTTTATCTTTATCTATAAAAAAATGATATATTGTTAAAATAATACATATATAATAATAAATAGTTAATTATGTTAGGTTGATGGGATAGGAAGTGCGTTAGGTGGGCAGCCCGGCCCACCACAGGTTCAACCCGGGTGGACTGTGTCAAAAGTGGGCCAGGTCACATTTTTTAATCCATCATAATTTTTTTATTTTTTTGGCTCGATCTGTCCCGCTTTCAAGGTGGGTCTAGTTAGCCCACGAATTAGAGCCCACTTTGACAACTGTGATACATAAGATAGTATCTTTGACCGCAACGATAACACAACCCCTTCTTCCTCCTACCGAACAATTCTTGAGAAGATAGATAGAGAGTTCCCTTACTCCTCACATCTCCCAGGTGTCTGTTATTGTCAAACTATAACCCTGACTCATGTGACTTGGGTTTAGGTTTTGAATTTTGGGATTTATTTTTATGATAAAAGGCGGGATGAGAAGGGGGAGAAAACAAAGTCTCAAACTTATGGTAATTTAGTTCAACATTGACAATTGGTTTTAGACCAAAGCTTTTCACCTTGCTATCCTTCCTCCGTCTTGATGTGACTTAGGGCGAAAGCTCTCACATCAAACATCGTTTGACAATTTGCTCTCTCTAGTGCGATGTCGAAAGCACCAGACCTTAGCCCTTTCTGAAACGCAATGACCGCCATCCTTTCATCCAAAGACACTATCCTCAAAGCAACCTCGTTGAATCTTTGCAAAAAATCCTTTAACAACTCTTCGCGTTGCTGTTTGAGATCAAACAAGTCTGACTTGATTGGCGGTTTCTTTTTGTTGGCTGCGAACAGTGCCATGAAAAGCCGACTAAAGACGTCGAAGTCGGTGATTGATCGGTCAGGAAGACCACTAAACCAAACAAGGGCTGCTTTTTTGAGCGTGCCCATGAACAGCTAGCAGCGAATTTCCATGCTCCCACCACAAATTAGCATTTGTGCTCGGAAATCCGTCAAGTGTTGCTAGGATCCTGGGTTCCTTCAAAAGGTTCCACCTGGGGGACCCGATGATCCCTCGGGATGATCTCGGCCCCTATAGCCTCCGAGAAAGGTCAGAAATCCCTAGGAACTTCCATCATGACATCTTCCTCCGCCGTTCGGGTATTGGCCGTTATCATAGCCTGCATCTCATCCGCTCGCCTCCTGATCTCCTCGTTTTCTCGCTGGATGGCCTCTTCCCTTTCCCTGGATCGTGCATTCTCCTCTCTCAAGTTGTTGATCAATGCCATCATCTCCTCCATGGTAGGGTGTTGTGAGTCACTGTTTGATGTGCCGCCTCTCGCCATAGCAAAGTGTAGGTTCTTCCGTATTGCTTGGGGCGTAGGAAAAGTTTCGTCGTAGCCCCACGGTGGGGGCCAAAATGTTCCGGCCAAAAGGTGGACTAAGGTTTTTTCCTAGGTCAAGCCTTAGAGCCAGAGCATTCAAAAGTGTAATATGTCGTCTTAACTCTAGGGTTTTAAGTTTTATACTTTTCTATTCATGGGCCACCTGGGCCTTGTGAGTGCGAGGATATATTTCCATAACGGTTTTCCTTGGAAATATTTGATTATCAAAGATAGGCTTTTCATCCTTGATTCTCGGACTAGTCCAAAGGGTGAGACCCACTCGGACTTTGGCCGACCATACCCTGGCCGAGCTCATCATGGCCGAGCACAGCCTGGCCGATCTCACCATGGCCGAGCGCAGCCTGGCCGATCTCACCATGGCCGAGCACACCCTGGCCGATCTCACCATGGCCGAGCACATCCTGGCCGATCTCACCATGGTCGAGCACAGCCTGGCCGATCTCACCATGGCTGAGCGCACCCTGGCCGACTATACCCAGGCCGAGTTCGTCCAGGGGGTGGGTGAGATCGCGGTCCGACTGATCTTATCCATGTGAGAGGTTAGATCGCCTGCCGACCGAGAAGACCCATATTCAAGATTCATCGGATCAAAACTTGTAAAGGGTATCAGATCGGGATCCGACTGGGACGATACAATATTTAAAATATTTATTTTATCTAATAATAATAACATGTAAGTAACCTGTTCTCAAATCTTGACGGGTAAAAATCAATGACTCACTGGATCATATAAAAAAATACATAATTCATCCGTGAACAACTTAAAATAGGTGTCACGGTAAATTTTGCCTAATCACCATTCGATGTCCTTAATGGCGGAATTGACTGAAAACATAACTAAAGAGAAAGGTTAGGTAATAGATAATCAAAATTATTAATAACATTAGCACAACTGATATGAATAGAGTATCAAATATCAAGATAAAAAATATTGTTCATTAATTTATTACTAACATTTATTTTTCTTTTTAGTCAAAATTTTACTTAAATGTTAGAGTACTTTGGAAAGTATTCTACCCTTTAATTACTTACCAATCTATACATATTATAAATGAGATATGTAACTGTTTTTTATCTTCACTTTTTAGTAGTTTTGTTAAGAAATTTATTAAACATTATTGTATAAAATTTATCTATTGATGTCCTTATTAGTAAAAACATCACATTAAATCTAATTGATATTGCATAACTGTCTTAATTAATCACTTTCAAATATGTTATTAATGATCTAAGGGATTAAAACAAAATTTTTAAAAATTAAAAGACTAAAAATAATAATTTTAAATTTGAGAGACTAAAAATAAATTTATCTTAAATTTGAGAGATTGAAAATATATTTAAGCTTATTTTTATATATTGGTCATCAAGTCTTTAAATGACTTACATTTTCCTTGTAATTTTGGTATGTAATAGTTGTGCTCTTCCAACAATTATTTATTTGTAACACGTTAATCCATCAACATGAGTTTAATGTACATACAATGTAATAATTTATTATTATGAATCAATCTTGTGTGACAAACATAAAAATAAAATTATCGCATGTTTTGTTGTTACCTTGATATGAATTTGTATAATAATTTAACATTTGCAACCATGATTTCACTTGTTCATCTTTCTATACTTGGAGTTCCCTCAGCCTATTCGTTTCATGTGTTCTTCTCACCTTCAGCTAAAAAGATAGCACATTAAAATTAGTGAAATTATCTCAACTAAGATTTTGTAGTTTGTTTACATACAGACATATACAAACAAAATCAAATACCAAATAAAAGATGGGAGATTAGAGCCAGAGTAGTAACGTTAATTACCTTCTCTAAACAATATTTCTTTCTCTAGAAATTCAATTTTCTGACACAATGCATGCTCTTTCACCATCATCATTTGCTTGTGATTTTGGTGGAAAGTCTCTCGTTGCTCAAATCCCACCATTTGATGTTGCATATGTATACACAAACACATAGAAAATGCTTTATAATCTCATCATAACAAAGAAATGTTTGAAACGTTGGCATCGGCTACATAATCACACTAAAATAAAATTGACTTAAATGTAGTGTAAAAAAAGTTTATATACAATTTTTTCCCCCACAATTATTACCATTATTCGATTAATTCCATGACTATGAAAAAAGTCTTATCTCGCAAAATAAGGTTCATGGCATAAACAACATATTAATAGACGTTATTAAAATGTTAACTGAATAAATTGCCCCCACCTGGTTATCCTAATTGAGCATTTTCATACACGCCCTTAATTACTTGGTAATTGTTCTTGTCTAGTGTATCTGCTTTAGAAAAATATATAAGACCAACTTAATAGCAGCGCACTCCATATATAGAACAAAGAAAGTCTAATTCTCTTTACTAGGCTTCATACAAATCAAAATGTGCATGTCTACTTTGTAGCTCTCAATCCATTTGTTGTTTCATCTTTTACAAAATAACAGTGATGAAGAACAATGAAATGGGGAAAGCTCAAAAGAAATGATGGCATCAACTAGCAACTACCCACCTCTAAATAATAACCCTCCAACTTTCATTGTTTGCTTTACTTTGAAATAAGCTAAATCTCTTGAAGGACAACTTGATATGGGAATTAATTACGAACAAAACAAAGCATGATCAAAGGAAGAAAAAGAAGTAGGTTACTTGATTTGAACTTCATGTTATACTTAATAAAAGTGTGTTCGGTTACATACACACTTAAGAAGAAAAGCTTTTTGGCCAATTTGAAAATTCAAGCCTTAATTTTTTAGGTGATTAATTTTATTAACATTTTAAAATCAATGTTATTAACATATTCTCTTTTGAAGATTTAATTTTAGATTAAATATATTTTTAACCTTTAAACTTTTCTTGATTTTCTTTTTTAGTCCTTTAATAAACTTTTTAATTGGTTATTTCTCCTAAATTAAAATTGACAAAAATTCAGGGAGTAAAACTTATAAAAAAATTGTTAAGGAACTAAAAATGGAAATAGTAAAAAGTTTGAAGTTTGAAAACATATTTGACTCAAAAATAAATCTTCTAATGAATCCTTAATAACATTGGTTTTAAAATGTTAATAAAACAAATCACCTCAAAAGTTAAGGCTTGATCTTCCAAATGGGTCAAAAAAGCTTTGCTTCTTGGACCTATATGTAAACCAAACACACTTATTTGCAAGTACAACATGAAATTCAAATCAAGCAATCTACCTCTTTTCCTTTTATTGGTCAAGCTTGTTTTGTTCATAACTAGGTCCCATATTAAGTTTTCGTTCAGGGATTCAGCTTGTCTTGAAGTTGAGTCAACGATAGAAGGCATCAGAAACTACATTTCTTGTTGAAAGGTTATTGTTCAAAGATGGGGTGGGGAGCTACTTGTTGATGCCATCTTTTCCGTTGAGTTTTCCTCCATTTGACAGTCGTCATTCTATGTGATTTTGCAAGATGAAACAACAACAAATGGATTGAGAGCTACAAAATATATACGCACAATTTAATTTGTATGAAGTCTACTAAAGAGAATTAGACTTTCTTAGCGCTATGGAGTGCATGCATGTATCTTATTCTTATATTTTTTTTTCCAAGCAAATTAACATGAAGTTACTAAATGATTAAGATGATACATATATACATATATATATATATATATATATATATATAAAAGTCATGTAATTTAGTGAATTAACATTTGAGTAATCATGATAATATTAAGATGTTCATGTGAAGCTGATATACCTAATACTTGTGCAGACTTCTGAAACGGAAATTGAAGTACCAATACAGAACATCCACACTTTTGAAACTGATCCTTGATTACTTGAGAACAAAATCTTAATCATTAATGAAACCAAATATTTTAAACAACATGCCAGCAAAGATTTCTTACCGATCTTCGTCTCCTGCGCAACACTACTATTAATATTACACGAACTAGAAAGACAGACACCTAAATATTTGTGACTTGAACTCCCAAATTGGCCAAAAGATTTTCTTCTTGAGCCTTGATCTTCGAGAAGAAACTCGTTTTAATATGATTCTACAAAGAAATTAAAGAAGGCAAATTAAATTGCATGCATATAAACCAAACACATTTATTGTAAGTACAAAATGAAAATCAAATCCAGCAACCTACCTCCTTTGCTTCTTAGGATCCATCATGTTTTGTACATAATTATGTCCAATATCATCATATTTTCCTTCAGCGAATTTTTCAGCTATTTTTAAAGTAGAATCGACGAAGGAAGCACCAGAAACAACATATTTCTAATTTAGGGTTATTGTGCTTCAGAGGTTGGGAGCTGATAGCTGGGCCATTTTTTCCTTTGATTTGACACCATTTCTATCTTCTCTATCTCTATTTTTCAGTAAAAGAAGAAAAAAAACAAATGGATAATCAGACCTTGTGTGTGCTATGGAGTGTTACTGAGCTGTTCTTATATATTTTCTTTTTCAAAGCAGATTCACTGCACACGACCAATTTCCAAATAATGATGGTCTGGCATGCATGAAAATGCTGAATTAGTCTATTAACATTTATGAAACGGAAACATTAATAATTAATTTCGTGCCATACTTTTGAAACGGAATTGAAGGACCAATTACTGATTAGGCTACAGAACTGCCACAGTCTGAAACTGATCCTTGCGAACTTGAGGACAAAGCCTGAATCATTAATACAGCCAAATTTTTCAAACAACATGCCAGCGAAGATTCTTACCGTTTTTCGATCCTCTCCCACACGACACCAATTGCACGACCTAAGAAACGCAGACACCGTCCCTTTGTGAGTGTGCACTGTGTTGTGGTCCTCCAATTTGGTTCAGACACCTTCACATGCTGAATAAAGTAAATATGACTATGTGATTAAGATTTTGATAGAAATACTTTTGAAAGTGTTTGGAATCATATTCAAAAGTGCATGTGTTTAGAAAAAGTAATTTTATTTTTGTGTTGTGCTGATTTGGTTGAACGGCTGCTATTGATTCTTAGTGATGTTGGAATTTACAAGTAAGGGTATTGTTTTATGTGATTAGTCTGCATTTTATTGGCTGTTTCTCTGCTTGATATATAGTTGTCAATTTCTAATCACTTTAGAGGTTGCTGCCTTAGATGAATTAATCAGTCTTAAGACTTCACATTTTGTTGTAGTGCATATATATTAACTATAAATTAGACGATGATTTCATATTTTTTATTTACTTGTAATGTTATAGATACTAGATTTTGATCTGCGTGCTGTGAACTTTTGATTTTAAAATAATTGGTTAATTAGTTAATTTACAAGACTAATTGGTTTTAATTTAAAATAGCACTGATTTAAAAATATATAAGACCTTTTTAGCTCATTTACAATAATTAGTTAAGAAAATTGGATAATTTAGTTAATAACATTAAATTAATTGAATTTTTTTTATAAAAGAAACTACCTTCAGATTATTATTATTATTATTTTTTACTGAAAACTACCTTGAGATTATTGGACTCAGCATTTTACTTTTTCTATCTAATTATTTTTTACTTAAATAATCAATTAATAATGGTTATGAATTTTTTCTTATTGATTTGTGTGTAGTCACCTTTCTCAACCATGGTAAGTGGTAACAGGTGAGAGTGCATCTAAATTAATTTACAATATATTCATTATTTATTAACTAAAAATCTGTAAATTAATTAAGCATATTTTGGTTAAAAAAAATAATTAATACAAATGATAGTTTGAAAAGAATCTTATAAAATGAGACAAATAAATTTCTCAAAAGATTCTTATATTTTGGGAGAGAGATAGTAAAATTTATTGAAAATTATAAAATTATAAATGATATTTATTAAATAAAAAATAACACCCATAAAGTTTTGTGATAAAGTTTGTTCAAAAGAGTGTATATTAGCAAGTATTTCTCTTTTCAAATATAATCAAATAGGTTGTTTATCATACCTTTCTACCTCAAAACGACTCTCTTTATATAATCAAATACAACAATTAATTATAACTTTATAAGTAAACTCTAGCACTACTTGTAGAAATCGCAACTATATATATAGAAACACACTAGAGATGGAAACCAACCACGCAAATTTTCAAGTCACATATCTTGAAGCAATGATAAAACTGGGAAACTTTCAACATAGTTATAAAGATTTAGAAACATGCATTGTCAAAAAGGTAAAATATCAATCGAGCATAACATGAGACAATCCACGAAATGGCAATCATATGCAAATAGCACCTAGTTAAATATTCCTCTTATAAAATTCATCTCCATCGATCCCATGTAGTTTGGGAGAGTCAAGTTCACTTGAAGTTTGGGTGGTGTATGAAGTATCCACTTCTTTTTCTGCAACTTTAAATTCAAATAAGGAAAGTATAAGGAAATCTCATATGAAAATATAAGTATGTACAAAATTATAAGTTTTCAATGATTTTTTAATATTAAAACTTAATTTATATTTGAAATAAAATAATTAATTTTTTTATGTCTATAATCAATTTTTAATGTGACACCGTCAATACTATTTCATTTAGGAAGGAATGAGATAAACTTAAAAAAAAAAAAAAAAAAAAAAAAAAAAAAAAAAAGGGGAGGAA